TCAGCTGGAGCCCTGCTCTGGACCTCGCAGCCTCTGGACCTCCCAGCCTCTGGACCTCCCAGCCTCTGGACCTGTGAAGAGCAGATGTTGTTTATAAGCCCCACAGCCCCCAGTCCATGCTTTCTTTGTTACCGCAGCCCAGATGGACCAAAACAATGCCAAAGTACCACATTTTTGGGTGACATGTTCTGATCCCTTCATGGTTTCATGTTATATACATCTTATTATTTACTGTCCAGTTTAACAATCAAAAAACAAAATCAATAATAATGAAGGAATAATATCATGTACAGAAAAATGGTCCTATTCCTGAGGCACAGTCTGAAACATTAAGAATCAAGAGAATTTTTATTCCAGCTCAATTCTTGTCTTGAATGAAAAGTCTGAGCAATTGAGTTTTCCTCTTGGAGCCTCAGCTTGAAGGTCTAAAACATTTGAGCTTTAAACTAACTAGCTGAGCTCTCTTGGGTCCTTTCTAATTTGTTCTGTTTTATATAACATGATGTTTTTAAAACACACCTGCAGTTTCTTGGACACACATTCATCAAAAGGTTGAATCCAATTTCTCTCCCTTTGAATATATTGGGCTTAGTGACTCATTCTGTTCCTAAGACCATAGGAGAAACAATGAAACTTCTGATATCAGGCCATAAAAAGTGATACAGCTACTCTGTCTCTCAGTCCCTAAGCAAACAGGTTACAAGTGTGGCTGCTCTGAAGCCACTCTGCTGGAGATCACACAGAAAGATGCCTAAGGAGTACCAGTGGGTCCAGCCCCAGCAGTCTGGGGCTTCCCAGCCCAGACCCCAGACCTGGGCATCAAACTATCCGAGCGCTAGCCTCCAAGTGTCCACAAATGGAGAAGAATCAAGCTGAACCAAGGGAGCCCTGCCTGTCTTGCAGGTTCATGCACAAAATAAATGCTGTGGTTAACCAACTACATCTAGGGTGGTTTTTTATGCAGCAATAATAACCAGAGCTGATGGTAAAGCAAAGAGCCTCCAAATGCCTGGAGTAAATGTTTTACCAGCTGAACACATGATATTTGAAATTTAGCCCATATAGTCCACTGAAATGTGTTCATTATGGACTAATGTATTCGGTTCTATATGGGCTAAATTTCAGAAAGTTATTTTGCATGCTGCATTATTTAACAAGCGACTTCAGTAATCTGGACTCCAAAGTAGTGAAGACCTGGACCCTGTTCTGGGTGGAAACTTAGGGAACACTAAGCCTGGGAGGAACGTTGACTTCACCACCTGGTGTGCCAGAGCAGAAGTGAGGGGTGAGAGTCAGAGACCCTCCATCACTTCCACACCTTTCAGGAGGCAAAGGAGAGGACCCCAAATGACAGCATTGCTGAAAGCTCAGTCATGGGACCTTTTCTTCTGAGCTCTAGACCAGCATATCCTGCTGTTGTAATATGTATTTGGCCTTTGTCTCCAGTCTTGGCAAAAAACTCCTGAGACCCTTGCAACTTCCTGAGTGACAGGGTGTATTTTGCTATTTATAAAGAGCCCATTTTGATCACACCTATTTATGTTAATGAGGTGGTTTAGAGTGGGGCCCCTAGATAAGGCTCCTCACCAGGAAGACCGAGTGATTAGAGTTGGAATTTTCAGCTCCACCCATTGGCCTCCACGAAGGAGAAGGGACTTAGAGATTGAGGTCTATGAAAACTCTTTTTTATTTTTTTATTTTATATTTTATTTTATTATTTTAGAGAGAGGTGAAGGGAGGGAGAAAAAGAGGGAGAGAAACGTCAGAGTATGAGAGAAATATTATTGGTTGTTTCTCGCACACTCCCACCCGGGACTGCCCCACATCCCAGGCCTGGGTCCTTACAGGAAACCAAACCCACAACCTGTCCCTTTGGGGGCGATGCCCAACCAACTGAGCCACATCAGTCAGGGCTCTAGGAAAACTCTGACAGGTGCGAGGTGATAGCTCATTGTGGTTTTCATCTGCGTTCCTTTGATGACTAGTGACGTTGAGCATGTTTCATTTATCCACTGGCATCTGTATGTCCTCTTTGGAGATATCTATTCAGGTCCTCTGTTCATTTTTTAAATTGGATTGTTTGTTTTTATGCTGAGGAGTTGTATGAGTTCTTTATAAATTTTGGGTACTAACCCATTATCAGATAGATGATTGGCAAATGTCTTCTTTCATTCAGTGGGTGTCTTTGAATTTTGTTGATGGTTTCTTTTGCTGTGAAAAACTTTTTCAGTTCATGTAGCCCCATTTGCTTACCTTTTTGTTGTTTCCCTTGCCTGAAGAGATATCAGAAAAAAATTATTAAGAGCAATGTCAGAGTTTACTGACTAGGTTTTCTTCTATAAGTTTTAAGCCTTACATTTAAGTCTTTAATCCATTTTGAGTTTATTCTTATATATGGTATAAGAAGGTGGTTTAGTTTCTTTTTCTTTGTATGTATCCATCCAATTTTCCCCAAATTATTTATTGAATAGAGTGTCTTTACCTCATTGTGTGTTCTTGCCTCCTTTCTCGTATATTAACTGACCATATAGGCATGGGTTTACTTTTTGGGCTCTCTATTCTGTCCCACTGATCTACAGTATGTGTCTATTTCTACACCAGGACCATGTTGTTTTGACTGCTTTGGTCTTGTACTATAGTTTGAGGTCAGGCAGCATGATACCTCCAACCTTGTTCTTCCTCATGATTGCTGTGGCCATTTGGGATCTTTTGTGGTTTCCATATAAATTTTTAGGGTTATTTTTTCCTAGTTTTGTGAAAAAATGCCTTTATCATTTTGATAGGAATGGCATTACATGTATAGATTGCTTTGGGTAGTATGGGCATTTTAATGATGTTAATTCTGCCTTTCCATGAGGATGGTATATGCTTCCACTTATTTGCATCTTCTTCAATTTCTTTCTTCAGTGTCTTACAATTTTCTGAGTACAGGTCTTTTACCTCCTTGGCTAAATTTATCCCAAGCTATTTTCTTATTTTTGGTGCAATTATAAATGGTATAGATTTCTTTATTTCTTTTTCCAATAGATCATTATTGATGTATAAAATTACAACTGACTTCCGAATATTTATTTATTTATTTTTAGAGAGGGGTGGGGATGTTTACTCTGTATCCTGCAACTTTAATGAATTCATTTATCAGTTCTAGTAGTTTTTATTTTGGGGGGGTACCATTAGGGTTGTCTATATATTGTATGACGTCATTTGTAAATAATAACAGTTTTACTTCTTTCTTTCCAATGTGGATGCCTTTTATTTCTTTTACTTGTCTGATTGCTGTGGCTAGGACTTGCAATACTATATTGAATAGAAGTGGTCTCACCACTTTTGTTGGTTTAAAAACGGGGGGGGGGCGGCTCAGCACCGTTAACCGTTGGGCACTCAATCAATATTAGTCATTAGCATGATCCTTACCTATCCCCTCACTACCTCTTTTACCTGCTCCCACACCCAAATGTCTAAAACCCCTAAAGCCATGGCCCCTTTAAATTCTGCCAGATTATAAGGTTATTATGGCTCCGTTAAATGACCTGGGTAGGCGGGATTTGCTTTTTATTTTTTTTGAAATTGCGGATGTGTTTCTAGTCTCTCCAGCGTTTTATACAAGTAACGGCACACCGTGCACATAGGTTTTTTAGCGGTTCCCCAAACTGGCCTCCTGAGCCCTGCATCAGCATGCCCCGGGTAGAGAGCCTGCAGGGCACCGCTTCGGACCTACTGACTCAGGGCGCCAGCGTGGGCCCGGCAACATTCCGCAAGCGCGCCGGTGATGCTCCTGCGCGCTAAATTTTGAGAGCCACTGACTTCCATCAAAGGAAAACTAGCCTTAACACAAAAGAAAACGAAACGAAACAAAACGAAACAAAACAAAACAAAAACATTTTTGAAGTCCCCCCAATCCCCGGGTTCCGCATTCCCTCGGATGGCCCGGGAGGGACTCTCACAGCCTCGGAGCAGCAGGGCGGCGACCCCGCAGTCCCAGCACATGTCAGACCCCCGCTCGCCGCCGCCGCCGCCGGGGACCGGGCGCAGGGGCCTGTGGCGCGGGTTTCCTGCGGCGGTGGGGCGGTGCGCGCAGACAGCGGAGGGCCGGCGGGCGGGAGGGAGGAGGAGCGGGGACGTGCTCCCGGGCGCCGCGCGAATGGCCTCCGGCAGCTCTGGGCTCGCTGCCCTCAGCGCCGGCCCGCGCGTCTCCGCACGGTCCCCCGCCCCAGACTCGGCCCAGGCGCACGCGGAGCGGCTTTCGGAAGCGCCGGGAGGGGAGCGTGCCGGCAGGGTCAGGATTCCGACTGGGATTGGCGCCCGGAGAGCCCCCGAAGTTATAGGAAGGAAGGGAGAGGACGAGAAGGAGACACCTCGCGCTCTCGGGCCGCGCGCGGCCGGCCGCCTCCCAGCTTCCCCACAAGTGGGTTCTCCTCAGTTGCGCCTCAGCCCCGCGGACTTCCTGGGCCGCTCAGACAGCCGGGAGGAGCTCGCTCTGCGACCCTCCGCGGGCGAACCGGTCAGGGCCTGCGGACTAACGTTACCGGCCGAAGAAAGACTGCTCATGCCTGTGTCAACGAAAGCTAAGAGGGAGTTCATCCAGGAGCTCCGGAGGCAGGACTGCCGCGGGCCCTGCTGGGGTGGGAGGGAGGTGACAGGGCTCCCCAACTTCCAGAAGCCATCTCTCACTTTCCGCTTGAGCGTTTGGAAACCCCGCCCGCGCGCTCCAGCCCCGCGCCGCCTCGCTTCCAGGTGTTCCTCGACCGCCCCGCCCCAGGTCCTCCCCGGTCACCCGCAGGTTCAATCCCGAGGTGGCCTGGCCGGGAGCCGGCCCTTGACCCGCATCCTCCTCCCACTCCGCCCAGGCGGCCGCCGCTAAAACCCCGAGGTTCCCACGTGAAACTGCGTTCTTATAAGGAGCCCCGGGTGCGCGTTGCACGCGGCCAAGGACTCAAGGTGTTAAGAGTCCGTAAGTCTTGAGCCCGGGGGTTCGCCACCCAGATAGGTCCGGAGGCCAGAAGGCTTCATGGAGCCCCAGGGGGCGCATCTGCTAACTTTGGAGGCGCAGGGACCTGCGCCCTTGGGAGACCCCCCGCCAGCCCAGGACGTGTCCTCCGCGGTGATCCCTTCCACGGAAGGTGTTAGGAACAGTGGTGACACAGAGGAGTCCCGGAGCGTCGACGCCAAGCCCTGGTCTCCCGAGGAGGAGGCTGACGTCCGGGAGCAGGAGGAGCTGCTGGAATGCCGCCGCCGCCGCCGCGCGCGCTCCTTCTCGCTGCCCGCCGACCCGATCTTGCAGGCAGCCAAGTTCCTGCAGCAGCGACAGCAGCTTGCCCTGGAGCTGGGTGCGGAGGGCGGCGAGAGGGCCGAAGACACGCCGCACAGCCCGGGTGACTGCTGTGCCAAGTGCAAGAAGCGGGTGCAGTTCGCGGACGCGCTTGGGCTGAACCTGGCCAGCATTAAGCACTTCAGCGAGGCGGAGGAGCCTCAGGTGCCACCAGCCGTGCTTTCTCGTCTCCGCAGCTTCCCCATGAGCGCGGAGGACTTGCAGCAGCTCCCTGGCCTTCTGAACGCGGCTGCCGCGCCCCTTTCCGCGCCGCCTGCACGGCTCCGTCCTCTCTTCGAGCTTCCCGGGCCGGGAGCCGCGGCCGAGCGCCTCCGGCGGCAGCGGGTGTGCCTGGAGCGAGTGCATTGCTCTGCGCCTTGGGGCGCGGAGGTGACGGGCTCCGGCCGAGTGCTGGGCTGCCCCGGGCCGAGGACCGTGGCCGTGCGCTACACTTTCACGGAATGGCGCTCTTTCCTGGACGTGCCCGCGGAACTGCAGCCCGAGCCAGTGGAGATACAGCTGCAGGAGGCGCCATCGGGAGAACCTAGGCCGGAGAGTGCGGAGGAGGAGCCGCGCGCCGAGCGCTTCCATTTCTCTCTGTGCCTGCCCCCGGGTCTGCAGCCCAAGGAGGGGGAGGAGATGAGCGCGCCGGACGTAGCTGTCCACTTTGCAGTCTGCTACCGCTGCTCGCAAGGCGAGTACTGGGACAACAACGCGGGGGCCAACTACACGCTATGCTATGCGCGCCCAGCCGACGCTCTCTGAGCAGCCCGAGCGCGCTTCCAGGGACTGTGGGAAGGGAGTGCGCCAGGTGACTTGCCCGGACGCCTTGCTGAGCGTCGTCCACCTTGAGTGAAGGGATCGTGGAAGGAAGGGAGGGAGCCACTCAATCGTAAAGTCGCACCCAGGCAGATTCTGCGAACAAGCATGGTGAGCCGCGGCAAAGCACCCGACCTCCGGCCCTTGTTCTCGTCCCTCAGGCTTTCATAACCGGCCTCTTGACTTCTAACCCTGCATCAGAATGGAAAGAAATCCTCAAGACTCTGACCAGTAGCTTTCTCCAAGAAAAAGGCTCTTGACCCCCTGAGCGAGGCTCTAGGACCTTGGGAAGTGTTTTTAACTGTCAACATCGTGTTTCAGTCTTTGAAGCTTGCTGGAGAGCACTCAGGACTCAGGGAGAAGACGAAGCATCCCGCCACATCTCCCCAAAGGAAGGTGCTGGACTGTGGGTGTGCGCGGGAGCCTTCCCTCGGGGTTCTTTCTCAGAGAAAACCGGGTGGGGCCTTGGACCGCGGTCCTTTGCTCTTAACGGGACTCGGGGAGGCGTTTGTCCGGCCTTGACGATCTTTACTTGTGCCTTTGTACAAATGCGCTTTAAAAAAGTAAAAGCCGCTTGCACACCTTTTATGCTCCACTTTATAATTCAGCTCCTGGGGGTTTGGGAGGTCTTGACAGGTAGGGGAGCTTCCTCGGCTGATGACGTGTGCAGTTTCACAGTAGTTAAGCAGTGGTAATACTGAATTTCCTCACTCCGGTCCCTCCTGTCTGTTGTAAAGGCCTAAATTTCCCAGACTGGGCAAAAAATATTCTTTAATATGTTTCGTGGCAGGGTTCTGTCCCCCACTGAAATAAGTGAATCGAAACGCCAGAGTAATCCAGTGGGCCTTGGCTGCTAGCCGCAGGAGCTGGGCGCTCATCTCTAGCCACCTTTGTGCAGGCAGAGCACAAAGCCTGGGTGCTTCCAGGCCATTAGCAGTCAGTGAAGCTGGACCCAAGCGCAGTGGATAGAGAATGAAAAGTTGGTCCTCTGTCCCATCCGAGCCACAGCAGGTAGTGGTGATGTGATGCATGATGAAACATCCCCAGCAAGTAAATGCTCTTACCCAGATGGGTGCCCCACACATGGCAGGACTGGACCCGGATGTGGTCACCCTTCATGCACTGCTGATGGCTGTGGATGTCCAAATGGGGTGGCCATGAATGAGCAGGACGGATGGGCATCCTGGATGAGGGCTCCATTCCTTTACACCTTGGTCATCCCTTGGTAATTAATTTGTCTTTCTTTCGTTTTCGTGTTTTCTTGCAATGACTACTACAAGCATTTGTTTTGTAATGGTGATCTTTAGGGCAGAGGGGCAGTTTCACTATCGAATAAGGGTGGGTCAAATTCAGCCTGAAGCCTGTTCTTGTAGGGCCTGACAGCTAAAAAATGATTTTCACATTTGTAAACATTTGGAAAAATTCAAAAGAATGCTATTTTGTGACACATGAGAATTATACGAGATTCAAATTTCAGTGTCCATAAATAAGGTGTTATTGGAACATAGCCATGGGCCTTTATTTACATGTATTTATGATGGCTTTTCTGCTACAAGAGCAGAGTTGAGTAGATGCAACAGAGGCCATATGGTAAGGCCTAGAATATTTAGTATCTGGACCTTTACAGAAAGTGTGCCAATCCCTGCTCTAGAGAAGCAGTATTTTTTAAACACTATATGGTAAGAGTTATACCAAATAAGGCAGGTACACTTTTTAATTTTACTTTATTTTATTTTTATCCTTACTTGAGGGCATGCTTAGAGAGCAGAAGGAAGGGAGGGAGAGAGTGGAGGAGGGAAACATGGATATGGGAGAGAAACAAATCTGTTGTCTTGATGCAGACACCAGCCCTCAGTGTCCGCATCATTATAGATGCAATGAGACATTCACATGGACTACCGAGTCCAGTGGAGGAAAAGGGACAGCATGGCTTTTCCCTCAAGGGGAGCAAAAGCCTTGGCCCTTGCCGTGACCGGCCTTTATTGGGTTTCTCGGCACATTACATGATGGTCCCCATTTACTATGTACAGGTTTGCTTTAGGTGGTTACCTTTTACAGAAAACAAAGGAGCCAATGCTGCTAATCACATCACAGAAAAGGGATATTTGCAAATGAAAAGGCAAAAGTGGTTGAACTGGTTACACTCATCCTTGGAAGGTTTAGCATGGATTTTAGGAAGTTACTTTGCAACAAATGTCCTCAATTCAGGGTGAGGGAGTTTTTTTTTAGCAAGAGCAAAACTCAAAGCAGCCTAGGCACATTGCAAGCCTGATTCCTCACGGGAGAACCTATTCATGGATGTGGGTCCTGTGCATCTCCAAGCGGGAGCTGAGCCCACGCCATGCAGAACAGTCTCCTGCAGTTGTCTCTCTTATGCAGAGGAATGGTCCTGCAACCTTCCAGTCTTTGGGAGGATGCTCCAACCAACTGAGCCACACTGGCCAGGGAAAGGAATTAAACTTTCACTAAAATTTGCCACTTGAACTATACCTCCTTTGAGTAAAGGTAGAACTGTTTACATTATTCTTAGTAATCTTTGTTAGAATAAACACTACAACACCAATGTACAATTATTCCTGTACTGGGGAAGGAAATTGACCTGTTGCCTTCTTTCATCTGTTAACCTAAAAATAAAAAGGCCTTTCGAAGCAAATGACAATGAGCACTTCTTGAGATCGAGGAGCAGCTGTTTGGGATGCACTGATTCAGGCAGAAGCCCAAATGGTGCTCTGGTCAGGAGACAAAGGCAAGGGTATTTATGAGAAGGGTAAAAGAAACAATTACATCAATAGAAGGAAGGCATTTCTGCTGGCGCAGAAACATAACATAGGGATGCTAATTTTAAACAGTGTTTTTAATTTTCAGTCTTATAATAAGTGCTTTCTTGTTATCTTTGCAAACTGCTTTTCGGGGCACAATGTTGCTTTGGGCCAAGTCCAAAGGTTCTTTTGCCCTGTTTCAATATTTCACAGGTCTGAGGTATAATGCATGCAAGGCAGCTTCTCTGGCATGGCAACTTTGGCTCTGCTTTAAAGTGGTTCCATTTAGTATTTTTTAGGACACATCTAAGAATAAATCAGTGCATCTGAAATGTAGCATCCATCTGAATTAACGTCAAGCTACAAAAACTGCTACATATTTTTGTACCTCAAAATGAGCATCTTAAGCTACAGAAATATTTAGTTTGAACTCTGCTTTAGAGACATCCCTTTTGATTGCAGTAGTCTCAAAGTAATTAATCATGGAAAAAATTTAAAGCTTTATTTATACTTGGAGTAAAGTAGATTAAAAATGGTCACATAGATGACATAATGAATTTTTAATTCACATAGTTTTTTGTAAGATTTTATTTATTTTTAGAGAGGGGAAGGGAAGGAGAAAGAGGGAGAGAAACATCAATGTGTAGTTGTTCCTCACACACCCCCTACTGGGAACCTGGTCCCCAACCCAGCCATGTGCCCTGACTGGGAATTGAACCAGCGACCACTTGCTTTGCAGTTTGGTGCCCAATCCACAGAGCCACACCAGCCAGGGCGAGGTCACATATTCTTACAAATACTATAACAAATAAGCAATTACTAGAATTACTTCATTTTTTTGTTCCTAAATACAAAAGTAGTCAAGTATTCTTTTCATACATCTGGTATACTATTTCTTTTTGAATAGTGCTTTATTACGTAATAATAACACCATGATACTTTGAATTTTTTCTTATGTATTTATGAATACATTTTAATTGAAAAGTATTGATAACATACGTAGCCTATAACTTAGATTGAAATGCTGGTTTACATGGCAATAATGCATTTGAATTATTTAAAATTAGGATCCTAGTACAATAATCAAAATAAAATCCTCTTGTGTGGTATCCTTTAAAATGGTCACTCATGAAATCTATAATAAAATAGATGAGAAATGGGTTTTTAGGAGGTACACAATGCCAGCTGGTACACTGATGCACAGCAACTTTCCTATTCTCATAAAAAACTTTTAATTTCCAAAAGTATATTTTGGAAATCAAACCATTAATTTTAGAAGTTCTTATTTTATAATAAAACAAATGTCAGACAGGGCTGTTAAGAAAGGAAATCTATCTTTGCTCTCCCCCAAATCTTGGAGAACAGCTTTTTTAAGGTTCAGAATTATGTAAAAGATTTTGAACAGCCCAGTCTTCCTGCACATGATTATAAAAAAGTGCCAACTTTCATTATAGACTGATAGCAAACATTTTGTAAAGAAATGTAAGGAAATTAAAATAGGATTTATTTGTGAAAAGTTAATTTTAAAGGAAGTGGCAATACTGACCAGAGTAAGGAAATATTTAAGAGTGTGTTTTCTGAATGGAATGAGAACACCCATACTCACCCCAAAAGCAAAATTCCCACAATACAGTGAATTTCTGTTGTTGTTGTTTGCAGAAATATTTACTTCAGCTTGAATAAAGGAGGGTCATTCTGCTTAAACCATAATAGCTTAAGCATTTAACATAGCTCTAGTGATCAGAAACAAGTTCTCAGCTTGTTTGACAACCCTGGCCGCCGCCAGAGAGATCCCAGTTTCTCCCTGTGGGCAAGTGGTCTGGGGACGGCGCATGAAGTGTGTCCCTACCTCACGCGTTTCTGAAGCAGTGGCTGGGAATGTGGCCATCCGCGTGACACCAACCGTTAACACTGAACATGTTCAGGTATGGATTCGTGGAGGCCAGAGGCGGAGGTATCGGTTTTCAATTGCTTTGGCTGTCATGTCGCTTAGGGTCAAAGATTAAGAAAATACGTTTGTCATAATCTGAAGGCCTGCCTGCCTGTAAAGTGAGTTCCAGAAGAAATGTTTAAAAATACACTTTGCTTGACAGAATAGACAAAGGTACCAGGGAAAGCCCCCCAAAACCTGGAATTCATTTATAAACAATTGTGTATTTATCCTGACATGTTTAAACTTCAGTCACCTTCAAAGTACTCTTCATTCAATGCAATATACTTATCAAGACATTTTTTTCCTCTGCTCAAAACAGTTTTTGAACTCATTGATTTTGATGCCTTTTTGTGCTTCTGCCATTTTTTGTTTCACCTCTCTACATGGGCAAAACTTTCCCTTTGAGGACATTTTTCATCTGGAGAAACAAAAAAAAGTCGTCTGGGGTGAGATCATGTGAATAGGGTGGGGCATGGGGTCATGCAGTGTTTGGTCAAAACCAGCTGAACACTCAGCATGGTGTGGGCAGGTATGTTTGTAAATCACCCATTATGAAATGAGCAAATGCTTTGAAAGAGTTTTCCAAAAAAAATTCACTGAAGTCAGATGCCTCTCACAACAGTGCCAGCTGGTACACTGATACAGATGGGCTCCTAGAACACTCACCTGGCTGGAAAGCCTATACTACAAGTGGCCTACTCTAGCAGATAATTCTGGGGTTTTGGGGTCCTCCCTCATAGCTATTTAAGCACAAAACAATGGTAGCTTAAATATTAACAATAGTCACAAGACATTTAGTTTCTGCCTTTTGCTTTAAACATAATGTCACTAATACACAATCATGAGATACTTAGCTGAATCTTGGTTCTTCAACCAGTTGGGTCAGTGGCCAATCTGAGGAAGGCACAGACAAGATGATGCCAGGAGCTGAACTAATCAAAGGAAAACCATGGAGGCTTACACAAGAACTAACTAATCAGTTTCACCTTTGACCCCTAACACCTAATCCTCAATGTCTGCCTTTGAAAACCCTTGATTAAAAACCATCTGAGAGTCTGGATTTTGAGTGCCAGCTCCATGTCCTCTTGGCATGGTGTCCTGCCAATAAACTGTTTTATTTCTCCACCACAAAACTCGGTGTTCAGAGTCTGGCTCTGCTGTACATCAGGGCACAAACCCTGCTCGATTGGGTGGCACATGGAAAAAAGTTTCCCCTCAGGACTGCCAAGTCTAGGAATCAAGGTGGCTAACTGGTGCCAAGACCTAACTAGGGAGACCAGAATCCTGCGCTAGGGAGTGGATGCAGGGTTCTGGGAGCCCAGCGAGTGCTGGGGACACCAAGGCATCTCTGTCCCTGGGCAGCAGGGCCACAGCCCTGGAAGCCTTCCTGTAGTACCCAGGTAGTGAGGCAGGAACCATGAACCTTGGCCCTAGGGACAGGGAAACTTTCCTCTGTCAGATGGGCAGTGGGCCTCCACCTGACCACACCCTCACCTGCTCTGCCCTTCCGTCTGCGGTGACCACGTTAGGGCTTCCCCGGGCATGCTGTGCTTCATGAGCCCACCCACAAGATGTCGGCTCACGGCGAAGCAGACACACTTCTGCTCATTTTAGTTTTGGAGTTTTAATATTGGATTCTTTGTACATCTTTTCACGAGTTTCCCGTACTTCTGCTTTCTAGCATAAGTTTTTGCATATTTTAGTATGATAAATTTTTTTCATTCCTTGACTCAGTCGTGGTTTTTAGGAGCATGTGGCTTGGAGCCACTTGAAACGTTGTGATCTGTTACATGTGCTTTGTCAGGAGTTTAGGAACACTCTCGGGGGTGGGGAAATTGGATGTTTTGCTTTTTTGTGGCATCATGGAAAAGAGTCAGACATGCATTTTTTTGGTTCACACAATGGGACACAGGTTTGTAGGTTAAACGAAAGCACTGTGACGTGTGATAACTTAAAAAGCAACCTTGACAGTGAGCTTTT